TTTAGGGAAAAATTATTCGAATAGTTTAATTTCTGAAGGATGCCGCAAAAGAACATAAAAAAATTAAGAGTAGCCTTGGATAAACAATCACTATATTATTTCTTAAAAATCTCACACAATAATATTAGCATTACTATATATTATAAGATGTATAATTTATACTTTGAATCTCGCCCGTTTTTCTTGTTGATTATGCTACTGCTTAGGCCTCAGAAAATCCATAAATAATTATAGAAAGCGAATTTGTAGCTGTTTAAACGAAATCGTAGACTGAATGCTATTTTGTGTTTGCTTCGTTGTGATTGGTCTGTTCTTGTATTAGGGTAGCATAAAGCTCAAAAGTTATAACGAAAGCGTTCGGCGTGACTTTTACAGATCTGCGATTGGTATTGAATTTCACTTCTTTTGAGTTCTTTTGTAAAACAGGTTTTTAATTTCTTACTTTCTGTCTCTCTCAAAATTAATTTATAACAAAATATAAGGCTTAATGATTAAGCCTAAATAAAAGCTAGCAATTGCAATCCTGCGATCGTAACGCATGTGCCCACCATGCACTTGATTTTTGGCTTTGGTGTTTTCAAGCTTTGGTATTGTTTGCTTTGTTTAATATTTTGGTGATCTGTGAGTCTCGCAAACTTTACGTCAGATTATAGTTGCTGTGTTGAGTGAAGCGTGAATTATAAGTAACGTGAGAAAAAAAATTAGCGCCATCTTTCGAAATGTTTGGCTTAAAATATTGCAACAAGTGCAGAAAATTCTGCTGGCCATTATGAGTGAAATTTTTAAAAAGAAATCCCATTAAATTAATTATCTGAGCTTTACGTTTACGCACGGCGAAAAGCATAGCATTGTAATCTTTCAGTTGAATTGCTTTGAGAACAAGTAATGGAAATTTAAAAAATCATCGTTTCCTCTAATATTGGATGAGTCTACAAATGTTCAATACTGTAAACATCTGGTGTTTAAACTGTGTGTTAATATATTGAAAAGTAAAATAAAATATCAACTCTTCTAGAACTTGTTGAAGTTATAAACATTTAAAAATTAAAACAAAACGAGATTTTTAAATAACAGTACAAACAAATTAAGTAAAAGAACGTAGTTCTTTTGGTAATCGGAACCTGATGAAATAAAATAAATTTAACTATTAAAACGGAAAATTAACTGAAAAATAATGATACGAATTTGTACATAGATGATTTTAGCGCAATTATATGTGAAATTGCTTTATTTTTCTGTATAATGTAACGCGAAAAATATATAAAGAGAAAAGCTATGCCGGTAAGTTCATTTAACAATGAGTAAATTGGTATCTCGGTAATTTGGTGAGAAATCACATAAAGTCTCCAAACTTGGCGACCATTTAAGGACATTTTGTTCCGGTCCCGGTATCACAGAAATAAGTATTATAATTGAATAAATGTAATTGATCACTGTATTAGCTGCAATCGTAATTCGACCCCCATTTTGGTTTCCAATAATTTCGAGAAACAGAATTTACTGAAATATCTCGGGGGCCGGTTGAAAACTATATAAGGCCGGAGAGAACATCTGCTCTCAGTTATTGTTGTTTTATTGTTGCGAGTTGTTAGTTTAGCGCGAGATCGGAGTTCTGAGATATCTTTGGATTAGCTTTCTCTTTAGATGCGTTTTGCATTGTGTTGCGTTTAACGTTCTTAGTAGTTTGAAGTGTAACTACTGATTCTACTCAGTGATATTATGATTCTGTGAAAAATTCCAGAACTTTGAAGTATTATTTTGACGAAATAAATTTTATTAACCTATCATCGAACGTGTGTGCATTCAATCTATTACGCACCCGTACGTAGGCAACAATATTAATAATTAAGGTAAAGCAAAAAACAATGAGCAAAAAGAAATAAATCGCGAATTCAAAAGAGTCAGTATATTCTAAAGATGAGGGAGTACCTAGCAATGGATATGAACAAATTAATGGGAAAATAGCAACATAAATTAAGTGAGAGTTAATTAAAAGAAGAAATGGAATTTTAAACACTAGAAAACTAACGATAAGATTAAGATATTTAAGATTTTCGTCAAAGCATTCATAATAAAACAAACAAAAATAGAATTACAATCCATTGTTTAAAGAAGACTGAATTTCTGATGACGTCAGAAGTCAAGTGAGAACGTATCTAGGACGTCACATCACATGATACCTGATGTCACGAGCTACATTTTTCTGCTTTTCAGTTACTCTCCAAACATTTCTAGTAATATTTCGCCGGCAGTTGATGCCGCAAATCAGAAATTATTTCACGGCCATGCATATTCGTCGATATTAATAGGTAAGCTATGCGCATTTCCTTCATAATTGAGCTTTGGTGGCTTAGTTTAGTGGTATCAAGTTGGCGGCCGCGGACTCTAAAGAAAATTTAAGCTGCTCGAGAACATTATTATTAAGTATATTATGAAAAATCATTGGTAAGCAAAATTTAAAATTTATTTAAAATACTTTTTTTGTTTGCAAAAATTCGTAAATTTGTTTTCTTTGGATATTTGTCTTGCGATAGTTAATGAGTATACTAATTATCTCGAATGAAAATTCTTGGTTTCTTAGTTAAGTATACTAAGCGTTAAAAAACGGTTGTACACTTTGTTTCCTTCAATATTTATCTTAGAAATATACTCCCAATAAAAGTTTTAAAACAAGATAAAGTATTCTATGCAAACGTTTTTCTACATTGTGACAGAAAAGTTTGGGATAAAAATAATGTATAGCATTTTCTGCTGCTAAATACTGATTACTAAAATATTGGTCTTAGTTGATTGCTTGGAAAGAAACGTTTTCATAACATTATATGCAAAATTCACTGAGATACGTTTATTACGTGTACTTATAAGTGCCCGCTACAAATTTAAAAACGAATGATAGTTTCTTGTGCAAAAAATATTTATTTATCGTGACAACAAGCAGCTGTGGTTTTCAGCTGTTTTTTTTTTAAATTTATTCACAGGAAGTCCTAAATTACATCGGTAACAGACTTTAAAAATAATTTAGCGCGGCAAATTCATGCTCGAATATTTTTGCAAAATTTACTTGTAAAGTTTTGAAACTTTTAATTTCGATCTTATTACAGCATAGAAAATAACTTACTAAGTACTAAAATATTTGCTTAAAGAGGATTATATGAAACATTAAAATTCAGTTTTATACAACTTTAGTACCCAAAGAAATTCCTCTTTCTTAAAACCAGGAAATTCCCTCCGTACATAAATTTCTTTATCTTACTAATAGAAATAACTTATTAAGTACTAAAATATTTGCTTAAAGAGGATTATATGAAACATTAAATTTCAGTTTTATACAACTTTAGTACCCAAAGAAATTCCTCTTTCTTAAAACCAGGAAATTCCCTCCGTACATAAATTTCTTTATCTTACTAATTTAACTAAATTCATAACTAGATAAACACGGAAGGTAAAAGAGTTAGGGAAGATGTTTTTGCGAACCGTTTTTATACCTCAATTAATTAAAACAATAACCTTATATAACATTAAATGCTGCTGCAGACGGTGTAGGGTGTCTGGATGTTGAATTCACACACTTGGAATTTCAGACAAAGTAGAATGTTTGTGACTGGCAGACCAGGGGTGCCAAAAACTTACTGATGTGGTAGCCCTTTCGAAAAATAGCCATAAGAAAAGACGGCTAGGAGGCTCTCTAATTCCTTTTCCCTGGGGTACTTTCAGCCGAAATTTTTCTGGAACTTAAGTAAAGAGACCTCTTTGCTTAGATTAAAAAAATATATATCTCTTTTGAATATATTATGGATTTGGTTCAGCTTCAAGCCGTCGTTAGAATTAACTCAAAGGTGATTATATGCAAACTGCTAAAGCTGGCATTAATGGTAAAACAAACAAGTTTAATGATGTACTTTGTAAAAGAATTTCTCGGATGAAAAATGGACATGAGCATTGAAGCACAGCATGCCTTTTCAGCGAAGCGAGTTTTACGCAATAGATCATGCTTATCCGCAGAAAAACCAGTCATTTCTTTAGAATGGATGAAGTTTCTTGTTACAGTATATCAGATATTTTGTTACGAAGAAAGTTATTGGAAGAGAGATTTCAAACTAGACCAAAAATAGAAACTGTATTTTGTCAACTCCTACGCTTTAAACCGCTTTCTTTAACAGAAGTTCTTGCGAAACTAGTGGAAAGCATTCTGTTAAAAATTTCAAATATCCTTTATTCGCATTTTTCAAATTCCAAATTAATAGAGGGTTACATAAACTACTAGCACTTCCTGAGTATATAGATAGTCAGGTAATGCTGTTCGACATCAAGATCCTGATGGACGTTCTTTGCTATTTATACTATTTACTCTGACGTTGATAATAAAATACTGTACTAGATACTTTTCTTGAGAAACAAGTAAATTGTTGTGGAAAAACGGCATTTGTAAGTAGAAAAAATACTGCTAATCAATAAAGTATTTTATCACAGGTCTACAGAAATGCAAATTTACACTATTAACACAAGTACCATAAAATGGTGTCAAGTAAAGAAGCCACATTTTAGTAAATTTGGGCTACAATGTTATTGTTTCAGTCAATTTTTATGGGCTATAAAACAAACTATAAAATAAAATATATGTTTTCATGCAGTTTTGCTTTTTTAATGCGAATGTAATAGTAGGTTATGCAGTAATATCTTGTGTTATAAATATGCAAGAGAGTAATGATTAATCTGAATAATCTTCTTCGAAATTTGTACTGCGATGAACACACAAGGATTTGTTTTGGCTGATATATGTGTATTCAGATTTAATGAGAGTAGATTTCACGCAATATCATTGGTTCGTTATGAAAATGCAATTTTTAGGTAAAGGACATGGTTCTATGTAAAAATACCGAACTTTGAGAAAAATTGCGCCCATTGTAATCGCGTGAGAATTAAGTTTATTTAACTAACCAGGTTTTAATTTGCATCTTTAATATCTTTTCTTAATTAGTCACGCAGCTCGTTTCTTCCAGGAAAGTTATGTACATTTCTATGAGACAAGCATAGGAGGATAAATAGGTTTTAATCCAAATTTCATAAGTTATCTGAAGAGCGTCAGTTCCAGTCTGAGCCTAGGTGTGTCTGATCGAACAAGCGAAACTATGGAGCTACGTCTGAAGGAAAGCAACTGATAGACAATGGTTGCTGTTTGATCATGGCTCTTGTTCCGGATTATGGACGTCCGGATTAAAGACTTTTGACTGTATAATCAAGCATTATGTGTTGTAAAATGTATCAAATGTGTCATGTGCTGTAAAAAGTCTCTAATGTTCTAAAATTTACCAAGTGTTTCTGAAATATTAGCATGTAAAAGTATAAAGTTAGTCTGAAGTGTTATGCATGTCATGTCAAGAAGTATCATTATGACCAAAACAGAACAATGTAATTCATAACTTTGTAAAGAAAAACGTCTCTGTATGCCCATGTAAAACTTTTTTTGATTTAGTACAAATAAATATCCGGTGTTCTGGGCTTTAATCTGTGTAAGGCAGTCCCACGAGTGTCAGGCAACGGAGCCCAATCACTCTGGCTTTCAGTACCTGTCCAAAACGGTAAGCTGCAGATGAAAATTTAACTCCTTAATATTAAAAAGAGGTTTGTTGTTCCTCTTATAGTAAAACTGAGTTGAAAAGAACTCGATATTTAAATTTTATCCAAAAATTAATGCACAGTCAAAAAAACTTACTTGTACTATAATTTTATGTCAAGAAGAGACATATTAAAATGTAAGCTGTTTTATTTAGTGTTCTTGTCCGTATGAACACTGAATGCAGACATGTGTACGGGATTTATTGGCACCTAATAATTAGAACCCACAGAGATAGCTGTGAAGTTACAATCCAAACACCTTCAAATCCGACATAGGTGTCATAGTCGGGTAACTCACTGAACAGGTCATCTCACTGAAGTATTTGCTAAAGTTTTGTTTATCGTGAGTTTTAAGACAGTTTCTAACTATTTTGTTCCATATTTCAATTGAATTGGTACCTGATATGAAGAAAACAGATAATTAAATTTAGTAGTATGTAAAATTTCTTTGCAAGATTCTACAGTTATACCATAATTTGCCTTTATTAGTGAAATCGTAGATTTTTTAGTGTCATGGATAGAAAAAGAAATAGCAGAGTCACATTCATATATACATTGAACATCTTCAAGAAACACCATACCTTAAAAAATTGTTGAGATCACCATGCTCCATGTACTCGAAAATCATCATAAGAGCTTCACCATCCGTCGACACACCGTAAAATTTGATAATATTGGTATGCTGCAAGTTGGCCAAGAGCTCAGCTTCTCTTTCAAAATCTAGCTTCGTGTCCTCCACCACGTTGTCTTTGAGAGTTTTGACGGCAACTAGCGTTGTTGGCTCCTCAGGTGTCAGGTAATCAACAGTTCCCAGATACACACGGCCAAATGCTCCTTCTCCTAGGGACTGAATGAAGCTGATCTTTTCTCTTGCTATATGGTGGATCTCTGTAAAACATGAACAGTATGAGAAACAACATCGTATTTGTAAAAACTCCTTTTGAAAACTACATAATGATATGAACTATGATATGAGTATCTATATCCATGTCTATCTATTTACGCGTCTGCTTATCTACCCATCCATATCTATTTATAAGCATTAAATGTACAGGTTGGCTTACGAGCTATACATTTATCTATAGGTTATACTACTCCACAAAATATCACTTGAACAGTTATTTCCTAACCCTTTGCTTCATTTTGTAGAAACATTAGGATTTTTTTGGAAGCAGACAAGATGAAAAATTAGCAACGTCTTCACCGGGAATCGAACTACCGACCTCTGGAATACTGGCCCAGCGTGCAAAACCACTACACCACGAAAGCACGCTAGGCAGACGGGAGAAATACTTTATATAGTGACCCTTTTAAAGGGTGACTGGGGTTTTTAGTCACCAAATACTGGGTGAGGAGAATCATCATCCAACACTCTTTTAGTTCGGGCGCCACTGTAGAGATATTAGGATTTTTTGGGAAGCAGGCAAGATAAAAAATTAGTAACGCCTTCGCCGGGAATCGAACCACAGACCTCTGGAATACCGGCCCAGCGTGCAGAACCACTACACCACGAAGGCACGCTAGGAAGGTGGGAGAAATACCTTATAATTTTAAGAAATACGTAAAATAGTTTTCTATTATGAAACTATTTGTCGCATGACAGATGTTAAAAATATATAACATTTACATTTTTATTTAAGCTCTCTACAGAGGAAATTCCAATATTTTTTTTTTCTTAATTTACAGAAGCTATTACCGGGAAATAGAACTATTCGTGATACACAAAATCAGTGCATAAAGAAAACTGCAGAAAGTTTATGAATTTAAACCATTTTTGCCTTCACTTAATCTCATTACTCTTATTTAGGATTATTTAAGGTATAGTTATCACTAGATGCTATAAAGGATAATTTCATTAAATGTAGTATTATGTCAAATCATCTTTTAAAAATGCACATTTGAAATGTTAACACCTTTAGCAACATTTGTGTACAGTCCCACAAATTTTCGGTTAATGTTATCTTCATATATGTTTTCAGAACTATTCATCATATAAAATTTAACGTTTTTGCTTGATAAATTTTGCTGTCGCAAGGATTTTCTCTCTAACTTATTTCCTTACGAATAACATCTAAAAATATAAGTTTCATAAATTTTTTCTGTGAGGTACCATGAGACCAAAATTACCATATTCTGAAGGGGAAGGCCATTTAGGTTAATTAATCATTTTCTTATGATTTGGAACTACGAATTGACTTTTCTTGCCGTTAGCACTCATCAGGATATAAAAGAGATAGTAATGTTTAGATTAGAGTTCTTGAAAATTTAGACAGAGAACTTGCTGCCGCGACGCTGATCGTAGTACTTTTCTTTCGCCCAGCGGTACAAATTAGTCATTCTGCATTAGCCGTATTGTTAGCCGATGTAGCTCGTGCTAACGCTTAGTAGCTTGCGCCAAAGCTTATTATGTTGTTTGTATTGTGGTCTCTAGCATTTACTTGTAAATTTTAAGCGATGATGATGATTTCGTGTATATGACAAAGTGCAATTATATAGCTCCGAAGCTGTCAAAGACAGCTTTTGCAACCTCGGAAGCTCTAACAGTATAAAGTAGGTCCACTGGGTCTTCAATGCCGATGTTAAACAATCTGGCCTGGATTGCTGGGCAGCTGAAGGTGTGATGGCGAGACAGTGGGATGTTATCTGGCAATGAGGACAAATGTTGGTGTAACTAAGCTGTCCGTCTGCGGAATCCTCATCCCTTTTAAGTGATTTGTCCTAAGTCTGGTTATGATAGTCGATATGGCTCTGTCACAGTTCAATTCCGGGATGGAGTCTCCTTTAACTTGACCGATTAGTCTTTGGCTGGCAAATGCATTGGCAACAACGAGGGTTAGGCAGTTGGATGGCTGAGGAGAATCACGGGATGCCTTTGCAAGCTCATCAGCCTTCTCATTACCAAAAATATTTACATGAGCCAGTATCCATTGTAAGATGCAGGATCTTTAGGCAGCAATGATTTTGTTTGTGAGCTCAATGATCTGATGACTGAGTTGACATTTGCCCTTCTGGATCGCTTGCAATGTTGATCTGCAGTCAGAGAAGATGATGATGCCCCTGGAACTCTGTTCTTCTTTAGAGAGATAAATCTCCAGAGCACTTTTGATGGCGACGAGCTCGCATGTCGATTTCTTTCTAAATTTTAAGCCCGAGATATAGTTGAAATCTCTCAAGCTACCGAGATTTAATTTTTAAGAACAAGTCGTGAATTATTCAGTTTCAAGTTTAAAATAAAAAGGATATTTAAACCTTCTTAAGACTTTGTTGTTATTTACATAGACGGGGTGATAACTGGGCTGATTGTCTTGTTGGAGTTGAAAAAATTGAAGAGAATACGAAAAGAAACGCTGTAATAGCATTTGACCAAATCTTGAAAACTGGAACCATTTGTTTTCAACTAACTACTTTAGAAACTTTTAACTGTGAAAATCTTTTAATTACCTTGTAAAAGAAAATATTGGTATAAAACAACCAGTATACCGATACTGGATCTTTGGACCAGTTGAGTCAAAATTATTAATGAAATTACAAGAAAAGAGCCAAACGTATTTCCTTTATCAAATTCTAAATTATCCAAGTTACAGACATCAGCGTCATGTGAGCATTAAAACAAACTGCTTGGATATTATTACCAGTGATATGTGCCTTAAAAAAGCTCAATTTGAACATTGGTGTCTCTGATATGTGTGCATTAAAAGGAAGAGCTATCTGAACATTTTTAATATGATATGTATTAAAAGTAATTACATTTATATGCCTTTTCAAATGGAAGAAAAAGATCAATCGCTGATAATATATTTCTTTGATATCTTCACACATGATTAGATAACAATATAAAATTTCATCGAAGATAAAATTCTGTTTGTAAAAACTTTTGGCTCATTTTCTATCAAGTCAGTTATAAGTAACTATCAAGTTATATACAGGCTGTTCAATTTAAAAGTGTATCTTACATATAAGCATAGATGATTTTGTGCATATTTTATTTTCAAGGATTCTCCGATACGTACATTGTTCCGTTATGTTAACTTTCAAAATAATTCAGTTTAGTGAGAAGAGGATAGATTCTTATAAGCAGAAAGAGGTTCGATGAATGCGTTATTTGCAGGGAGCAGGTATGGAACATGATGTGTGCTGCGTTTTGTTTTGTTTTAAAAACTTCATTTATGGCGATATTTCTGTTTTAAATCAGGGCTTTTTTGCAGACAAAGAATGGTGTCATTGAAGTGGATATATCTGCGGCCAAAACTATCGTACATAGAGCTCTAGAAGCAAGCTTCTTTTTAACACCCTGAATCTTGTCAAAATTCTCGTGCGATGTTATATGTCAAGCTGAAGAATTATCTAGCTCTATTCTGTGAAACATTTACGGACGCTGAAACCTACTTAGATAGAGCACGGTTTTGAAACCGTGCGGAAGATTTCAGTTATAAAATATATTTAGTAGTTTTTCTCATAAACATTATTGTTTGATGTTTCTGTATATAAAAATATTTTAAAGAATATTTGTGTTTTTAATGGGAATTATTACATGACTTATTGCTTTTCCTTACTAATGACAATATTATACTTACAGCCAGTTCATTGCCTAAAAAAGAAAGATATCAGTTCTAGTTATGAAAAGATAGAGCCAAATGTCAGATGTCATACAGCATATTCCATCTTGGAGAGCATTAGGGACTTTTTGAAATTATAATCTTATCTAGAGACTATGATTACTGAGAAATACAACTCTTACAGCCTAGACTGTTGCTCGAAGCGAGCCTCTTGCTCATAAACAAAAATACACCTTGGCAGAATTAAAAGTGAACTACTATAATTATATAGATAAGAAAAAGTTTCAGAAAACTGTTGGAATATGATTAAATATGTAAGCAAATGTAACGGAACTAAAGCGATGACACTTGCAACGTACAGTGTAGGCAAGTTCTACACTGTACGTTGGAAGTGTACATATAATAATCTCTACATGTAATAATTGTCGCATAAAGAAATTGCAGGCGAAAACATCGCAGACGTAAACGTCGCGGAGAAAAACCGCAAGTCGAAACGTCACAGGAGAAAAGAAAGCAAGGAAAAGACGAGAAAAGAAAGCAAGGAAAATACATCTTAGTTCTTGCACATCTTGGGAGAAAAGAAACAAAGGACAAAAAATAGCAGTTCTAAAATATCCGAATACAAAGCAATGTCGTTGAAAGTAAAGTGGCTAAAGAACTTCGCAGTTTGAACACACCCTTTTCGAGAATTATCATGGTAAAAGTAAAGCATTCGCAAGTCATCTCATGACGATAACATTGCAGACATGCATTTTTCAGACGTTAAAAGGTTTAAAAGCATATTCGCATAATGATTTGCGAAAGAAAGATGGAATGAGGAATATTTTTACATTTCTATTTCATATTTTTGAATTAACTAATAAATTATTGCTGAAGAACAGAGAAGAAAATTTAAGTATTTATAAGCTGTAAAGGAGTAGATCATTACCATATTTCTGAATTAACTACTAAATTTTTGCGAAAAAATTAAGAAAAAACGTTATGCATTTAAAAACTGAAGATGTGTAGAAAATTAATGCTACTTATATCTGTTAATAGAATTTTATTTTCTGGAATATTATATAGCTTATATGTTTCCCTTATAACTAATATGTCCACATCTAAATGGCTAATCGCATGTTTTGCGTGAAAACGTAATAACGTTTTAAGAAGACGAATAAACCGAAACAAAAATAATATTTAATTTTCATTAAAAGAACATAATTCACAAAGCTGAAAAAGTTATTTTACAGTTTGATAATTAATTGAAAGAAATTTAGTAGATTTAACATTAAATTATCCTTTTTTTTTCTTACTCATTTCCCTCTTTTCTAATCTTTTTTTTTAATTATC